ATTACATGAAACACGTCAAGCATATATATAAGACATACAACATATTATTTGTGAATCTGGTTGCCCTGTTATGCGCATAAATGATTATCTGTTGAAATTGTCTGTTGTAAGTTTCATGTCCCTTTGTCTGTGAGAGGAGAAATGCGCGCTTTTCTGAAAGTAGTAAAAGGATGCATCCCTTTTTTGGAATGCAGGGGGAAAAGGGGAGGTGTCCTGAGGTCATGCCCATGTCACGAGTGTAGATCTGCCATCTTTCCGCTGGACAGGGAGCTCTTAATCTGTCGCTTTCTGTTTATCGGATTATCAATTTATGCGTTAAACGGTCATGGGGTCCGGGCGAGTCTGTCGCTGGAACATTTCCAGATACCATGTTCTTTGTTCTGTTGTTTATTAGCTGGTTTATTTATGCTGAAGCCGGTCAACGTTACACTGCACATCTGGTCCTTGAAGGGTCTTCAGACAGAGGGAGTTTCTTCTCTCCTGGTGATAGTTAGGGTTTAAGCAGTTCAGATCCCCCTAAGGGATAAGGACCAGGCCTTGACCGGAAGCAGGTCCAGACAATTAGGTGCCCTGTTGATCATTGATCTTCTTTACGACTGCAGATAGCTGGGGAGGAGAGTCTTTAGTTTTTCTGGTGGAATGCGGAGGTTCAATCGTTAATTTGTGCGATATTCGCAGAGGCCTTACATGGTTCAATAAGAAAATGAAATAAAAAAAAAATAGCTTAGATGTAGTAAACTACTTTTGCCATGTTGCTGTAGCTTAGCTTGCTACTTTTCCCACGGCTGTAGCTTTAGTGTAGTGAAGCTTCATTTAATGATGAGTAACTAACTGTTAGCTTAGCTCACTACATTTTCCAAGTAGCTTGCCCAACACTGCAAATACGCCATTAACAGGGTAGTTCATCCAAAAATGAAGGTTTTTCATCATGTAAATAAATCAGGATGTACACCCTGTAAAAAAAGTGACCTTAATAGTAAAGATTGTGAATGCGTAGTGTACTTCAAACCCTAAAAGTATCACATTAAAAAATTATTTGCAGAAAATGTATTAAATATTGATGGAAAAAGGCACTTAAGTGTCTTTTAGTATTTAGGCCACTATATATTTTAGTTTACCATATATGCTTCTCAGTACATTCAGCTGTACACATACAGTAACCATATTTCTAATACAATATAAGTAATTATGAAATATAACGATGCACTTGTCATGGATTCACCGGGCTCCACCGGCACTCCCTCACTACGAGCACATTACCCTGAGTTCTAATCATCACCACCTGTCATCAATCACCACACACATCAACAGCAATATTTTATGTTTGCAATGAGCACTCAGTCAGCATCTGGTCTATGACTAGGACTACTTCTGGTTACACTTTATTTTGATAGTCCACTTTAGACATTCTACTAACTATAAGTAACTTTGCAACTACATGTCAACTAATTCTCATTAATTTTTCAACTACATGTCTACTAACTCTCAAGTAGACTGTTAGGTTAGGTTTAGGGTTAGTAGAATAAGTTGACATATACTTGCAAAGTTTTTCATAGTCAGTATGTTGTATGTTGTGGACCCATCAAAATAAAGTGGTAGAAGATATTAAGCAGACAGTCTACTAATACTCTAATGACCGCTAGCTGACATGTAGTTGCAAAGTTGTTAGTAGAATGTCTGAAGTGGACATTTAAAGTAAAGTGTTACCCTACTTCTTGATTCCTGCACCCTCACCACTCCAGTCACCACCACACCAGTCACTGCACCAGTCCCCACTCCTTTTATGGCTTATGTTGCCAGTCCCATGGCTAACCAAGTGCCCTACTCTAGTTTGGTGGAGGAAAGCAATGAATTTTTACTACAATGTTCTCTGGCAAAGAGAGCAAAGATCGCCTTTATAATCTCTTTACTAACGGGAAAAGCACTGCAGTGTGCCTAGATGATCTGTTAGCAGTTGGGACTGGTAACACAGTCTCTAGACAGCTTTGTAGCCCATTTCTGCAAAGTTTTTGGTAAACCCATCGGTGACTTTTCCATCAGTGACCAGTTGTACCATCTGCACCAAGGGAAGATGTCTGTCTCAGAATATGATTTGAAGTTTTGCAAATTGGCAGCAGTGAGTGGATGGAATGAGTATTCTCTCCTCATGCCGTTTTGTCAAGGGTTGTCACCGCATTTTCGTCTGCATCTCGCTGCATACAATGATACCATCAGCCTCGAGAGATTCATGCATCTAGCCATCTGAGTCTCCCATTGTATGCAGGGGTATAAGGACAACTCCTAGCATCCACCCCATGTTATCCACCAACTAGAGCCTGCCATCTCTCCAGAATAAGAACCGATGAAAATTGAATCCACTCGACTCCCAATGGCTGAGTGATGGCACTGGCTGACTCAGGGTCTCTGTTTATACTGTGGTGATTCAGGGCATGCCATCACTACATGCCCCATTCTTCCACCTCGTCCTCTGGTGAGTTTTGTACAAATCACTTGTTTCAGTTCCTGCTCACTACCAAAGTGCTCATTACTGTCTCTAATGTGTCTATTTCAGTCACCGCCCTTATATACAGCCAGGAACTTCATTTCCAGAGAACTCTGCTGTCAACTCAGCCTCTGAAACACCCTTAACAAGAAGAGTTATCAAGCCCAGTCCATAACTGGAAAGCCCCTCAATCGTAGTCTCGCCCACAATTAAGTGGGTCCCATTCAACTACGCATCTGCAAACTACATCAGGAGGACATCCATTTGCTGGTTCTGGAGAATTCCACCGCTGGCATCATCTTAGGGTGACCGTGCTTAATCAAACATTAGCTGGTGCTGTCCTGGCAGAGCGGAGAGATCCTTAAGTGGAGCGATAGCTGCTTTCCTGTTTCCCGAATCTCCCTTTCCAAGTTCCTCATTCAACTGTTCCTGTATTCTCCACAGTCAAGTTCCATTATCCCCTTCCTCTCATCCCTGCTGCTCTTGAACAACTCTGATGTGCAAGAGTTTTCACAAAGCTGGACCTCCGCAGTGCATATAATCGCAGTGCATGAATGGAAGACTGCTTTCGTGACCGCTACTGGCCACTTTGAGTATTGCGTCATGCCATATGGCCTTGTTAATGCCCCTTCAGTGTTCCAGGACTTCAAGCATGAGTTTCTCCGGGAGTACCTCCATCATTTGTCATAGTCTATATTGATGATATCCTAGTGTACTCTTGGAACATGGCCAAACACCACCACCACATTGCAGAAGTCTTTCAGAAGTTGAGAGAGTTCCACCTATGCCTCAAGGCAGAGACATGTCAGTTCCATCAGTCTGAGATGCTATTCCTTGGGTACAATATCAGTTAACATGGCATTTCCATGGACAAGAGGAAAGTGGACGTCATCTGCAACTGGCCAACTCCCACCACTGTGAAAGAGATCCAATGTAGAGGTCTGCATTCCCGCGGCTCTCCCGTGGGACCCGACCGGATTTTTTGCACCGCGGGATTAAATTCCCAAATAAAACGCAGTAGCGGTCGGTAACTCTGGTGTAATTTGAACGGGAGCAGGCGGTCTAACAATATCCCGTTCCCGACGTCCATTTAGAAACGCATATCTGCGCTTTATTCTTATTGACCACCGGCACAGCTTGCGCTCAGGACTGTTATGCACGCGCTGCACACATGCTGTGCTGTTAATACTCATGTGTATAACGATGCTCAGAGCAGGCTGTATCTGTGGTAAATATACGGCCCTCAGACAGAACAGGCAGGTTGTCGATGAGTGACACAGCAGAATAAGGATGGAGCAAAGGTGGATTCGCTGTCCTTGAAGGACGTTCAACTCGGTTTTGTTTATATTTTGCTTAGCCTATAATTTTAAATGACAGATGTCGTAGCCTATTTATTTATTTATTTTTCTCTGCGACAATTTTCCTACTGTGTACAGCAAAATGTTAAATGAATTTAGTATTTTGACAAGAGAATAAAAATAGCTAATAGGCTATTTTTGTACAACCTATATTTTTATTTTTTTTCTCTCTGCGACACTTTTTTCCTATTGTGTTGACAATGTTAAACGAATTGTATTCTGACAAGACGAATAAAAATAAGAAATAACATTTTTGTACATTTTTATTTTCTCTGACACTTTTTTTCCTACTGTGTTGCATAAAATATTAAACGAATTTT